AAACACACACACACACACACACACACACACACACACACACAAACAGACACACACAGATACACATACACACAGGAACACATTCACACAAAAAACACAAACATAAACACACATACACACAAGCGTACACAAACACAAACACACATACACGTACACAGACGAACATAAATACACAAACCATTACACTCACTCACGCAAAAACACACACACACACATAAACACACACATAAACACATGCACACACTTACATACACAGATGAACACACACACACACATACACACACACACACACACACACACACACAAGCGCGTGTGCACGCACAAATTCCCACACAGACACAAATACACACACATGGGCACGCACAAACACTTGCAAGCATTATAATGTCCTCAATGTCATTATAGTTATAGCGAGTGTTTTTTCCAGTACTATTCAAACTGCGAAGATAATCAGATGGAGCACTTTCACAAAAAAGTTGGTAAATTTTTAAACTGGGTAAATTGTTTAACTCGGCCCCTTATACTCGTGTAGAAGGGATGCTACATTCGTGACGAAGGTGGGCAAATTTCCTATGGACAATAACATCCACCAAAAAACGCACCGCTAAAAGGAAACTTTCCCAGAATACACTAATATAAAACATATTACTTCGAAAAAAATGCAGGATTTTAGACAATGGAAGATTCTAAACATTCAGCCAGAAAGTGGTGCTTGCTGATTTATATACATGGTTACCAGCTTGTATTTGAACGTATCAATGGAATTAATACTGGTACCTTTTTTATGTAACTGGGTATTTTGAGTGTCTAACTCGTTTGAATTGCTACCAAACCACGTAGAACTATCAAGACAGAAAGCTAGTACACATTTGGGAATAATTCTTACGTAAAAAGCGAACTACTTAAAAGCAAATTTGAATGATCTGGCGAAGCAGAAAATAGTTTTTAGGTTTTACTTTTATACGGCCTCTATCTAATTTGCTTCTACAGGATACTAGCAGGGCTATTCGAGATTCACAAACAAGTGATGAGTTCGAAATCCATGTGGGGACGATACATTGTTAAAATATATTCGTCATTGGCTTGGGTTTTCCCATGACAACCCAGGTTGCCTCAGCATGAAACATTGTGTCAATGGCAGGGCGCGCAATACACACACCATCTTTCTGCTATTTCTATAGACAAGGCTTACCTTTTGGGCAAGATGTTCTCTGTGGTGTACAAGAACAAATATCATGCCAGACAGTATCGTGTTTCTAAATTCAGTAGCCTATCTAGTAGCAATGACCCTTGCTGCCGATATATCCATTCACGAACAACGGAAGCATCTTCACCAAAGACTGAAGTCTCTTCCCTTATCCTCCACAGCCGTCGTCGTGGCTTCGGAGTCAACTACCCCGATCAGCACCTGCATGGCTGACGCTGAAGGTTGCTATAGCGACACCGAGAAAAACGACATGCTTAATCTGGTCAACAGTAACCCGCCGCAATACGCGACGGCCTGCGAGTAAATGACCTTTTAAGTTTTGTAAACTCAAGCGGCTTTCACACTCATTCATTCCCTTTGCTCAGCAACGCCCTTATCCACTCTTCTACTCTTTGTCACTCATAGAAACACTCGCTCAGTCTTTCTCACTCACTCACTGGCTCATTTTTTTCACTCACTCACTCACTCACTCACTCACTCACTCACTCACTCACTCACTCACTCACTCACTCTCTCACTCGCTCACTCACTCGCTCACTCACTCACCCATTCACTCGCTCACTCACTCAGTCGCTTACTCACTCACGTTCTTACTCACTCATTCACTCTCTCACTCTCTCGCTCACTCACTCTCTCGCTCACTCACTCTCTCGCTCACTCATTCACACGCTCATTTACACATTCACTCACTCACTCACTTACTCACTCACCCACACGTTCATTCCCTCACAAAAAGTTTGTGTGTATGTGCGTGTTGTGTGTGTGTGTGTGTATGTGTGTGTGAATAAGTGTGTGTGAGTGTATGTACATGTGTGTGTGTGTGTGTGTGT